TTCAGGATCACCGAACGTCCGACACCCTCGGCGAGAGATATTTCCGGCGCGCCACCGGCACCAAACGCTGAACCATGTACGGGCATCGCAACGGACGCTGGTGGCGTCGTGACTCACACCTCCTACAACAGGGGGGTAGGTGTGTCGAGTTTGCCAGTCGGACCTCCAAGCGGCGAGGGCATCTTCAGGCCAGACGCGGATGGCTGCGCACAGGTGGGATGTCGCAGAAGCACGGGCACGGCGTGCTGCTGACATCATCGACAACTTCAGGCGCGTACGCCAATCCAGGAGACATGACGTTCCGGAAAACCATCTCTGTACGTATTCACGGGGGGGGGGGCTTCATAGTTAAGAAAATGAAAAATAAAGGAAGATGCTCAGGTTATATTTTTAACAGAATGCGTAGAAATGTATGTTCCAAGAACCGAATTTTCAGCCCCGCCGATATCAGGCCATGTACATATTTCGGTGCGCCTGTCCTTCATCCGATCTTTGATATGATCTATTTTCTGTACGTACCTCAGTTTCGAGGCACCGCCGTATTTTGTCTTCGATATCAACGGTACAGACTAGAATGATTATAATGCCGTAACTGATGGTGCCAGTGTCGCGTTGTGGACTTCCCATACAGAACCAATCTTCAAGTCAAAACTCAGCAAAATATTTGCAGCACAGGGGTTAAACTCGTAGCTAAGCTATGCCCTATGGTTCAGGATAATGTCACACATTTCCACGCCCTTCACCCAAAACTGATTTCCATGAGTGCAATCCTTAAGGCCACAATCACATCGTTCGATCCAAGAACTGGTCTCCACGTACACCTAGCGCAATGCCCGGCAGAGCTATGGCGCAATGGCACCATAGCTCCATCTCGCGCAATGGCAATGGCGCCATCCACAGTCACTTCTGGTCCACATCAACAGGGAGTATCACCACATCAATGAAGCAGTGCCAGCGCGTACCAAGCGTGCCCCTGTTTTCAGGTCAAATGAAGTGGAGCCGGTCGCGGTGTTCGGAAAGTGAATTACAGTTGCCGTCACATGTGTGAGGGTTCGCGAATAAAGCACTATGCTTCGACAAACCAGTGGATTATTCAATGTGACTAATATCTCCTGCACCCGCATTTGGGTGCGCCGGAAAATTGAGCCATATCTTGACACGAAGGTGCGTCAAAAGAGGCTCTGAACGACGACCCACATCAACATGCTACGAGCCTTTAGCGCAGTTAAAAATTCATATCCACATGCAATGGCCACACGCAAAGGGTTGTCTGCCAATGATCAGTGGTAAGTTGCTGAGCTCAGTCACAAGCCACATTCAACAATGCAGCGGTACTCAAGCTGGCGCCAGTTCGTTATTCAGGCCTCACCCACCTGACCAATTTCGGCGATCGAAAACATCGAGACAAGTGATATCGGTCCAGTGGGAGTGCCCGTTGGGGAAAAACTAGGACCCGGCCAAGTTTAAGACAAAAATTAGAACGCAAAACTTTCGGGAAAAGCTAATGCATTGTTATTCGCGGCGGTAGCGAAGAGCCATTATTTTCCCACAAGTGCGTCTATATAATTATCATCGCCGATTACTCTAACCAAGTAGGACAGATGTTTGGCTGTTCTATTGTCTAGCTTCGACGTCGGCTACCTTACATGAGTTAATTGTGTCGCAGACAATGTTTATTTATAAAACATGAGGCAACAAAAGCTCTTAGAGGAAGTATACAGTCGATCGGTCAACACATAAACAACACATGAATGCCGTAACATTACCGAACGGGGACCAGCCACAGGGTAACAGAGAGATCGAAGCCGTAAAAAGCAGACAGCACCTCACCCCGCTACCCAGCCATGCTATCCTTAAGCCTCAATTGAGACATCTCTCAGGCACCGAGCTCATTCACAAGAGGCTCCAAACAGCGCCCCGCGTACACGGCGAGGTGCCTTGTCCATTGAAGTGTAGCGTGGTAACCGCGGGGACTCGGCGTCTGGGAATGTTAGGCCGGCTGCCAACATACATGGTGGCCCAGACAGGCCACCGTCGCCACTGATTTCTGATCGCTGAGGCTGCCGCCCGCCCCTCTGAGGTCGACACGCCACACAGCTCGAGGCACCGACGCACGGGCGCATTCCTGCACGTCCTCAGCCGCGAGCCACACACGCCCTACACCGGCGCAGTCTGCTGGGAGCGATGAGATCCTGAACCGGCTCATCGTGAACAGTTGGCACTGCTTCGCCGTGCCCTCACTTCGGATCTGGCTTCGAGTACCGATCACTCATGCTTCTTCCAGAGGAGGCATAGGAGTCCCCAGCGACAGGCTGACACCACTCCAGCCCAAACTCCACTCCTGGAGCTCCAGCCCGAACTCCACTTCTGACGCCACTCCAGCCCGAGCTCTTAACCACTCCGAACGCCTCACACGGGCCGGCCGCAGGCAGACAAACCTCGCGAGGCTGCGGTATGTCGGCTAGGTCGCCCAAACAGGTCAACCTCTTACGGGAACTGGGACAAACGCCGGGCGAAAAATCGTCACGGAACGCGCAATCACTTCACTGAAACATTGCTGGATCAATAAAGAAGGCATTCGCCCGCACCCTGCCCGTGCCCAAACGGGGCACGCGGATGCTCGCGCCACATTCGACTTCAGCCTGGAGGCCCCAAAGGACGAGCTTCATTTGGCTATAATCGACATGCACCCGCAAGGGCCGATAAGGTCTGGCGCCGGACACCGCACCAGCTCGCGGCACATCCGTGCCCAGGTCAGGCCGGGCCCGGCGCACGCTCACTGCGGACCTGTCGACCCCGCCGGGGAGCCGGCGAGTCTTGTGGCGTAGCCACCCGCTCACCCATGACGTACCCCCCCCCCCCCCCCCCCGCCTCGCTGCGTCACACGGCACGCGGCTCCCACGTGCTACGCCGGGGAGAGCGGCGTGACCGGTCGGACACGGCGTGGCGCCGCGGCCGGGCTCGTGGGATGAACGCAAGCCTTTGTGTCACGCGAACTTGCCCCTTCGCCCCTGGCGCGCCGCAGCGCCAGCTGAAACCTGACCCGCACCGCCACCGTAGAGCGATTTCAGCACAACCCGCACGAAGTCTAGTGAACGCAGCGGATTACAGCTGAAGGCACAGCGCGCTCCAACCCTAAATATCGATTTATGACATGGGCCTAGACGAGACAGGTGCGCGGGGCGCCGGCTCACTGCCGCCGGCC